CTATAAAGATTGCTGGAAGCCGCTGGATGGGGGCAGCGCAGAACCGATCGTCATGGAGATCAATAGGGAAGGCCTAGGATCAGCAGTGTGCGTTGCACGGCTGTGGATGAAGATGATTACTGCAAGAGAAGCGCGTATATTTATAACAATATGAGCGGACATTACCGCTACCCACGTCAGTGTGTTTGTACACTTAATTAAGTGTAACTGAAAATATTTATATAAATAAATAGTTGGATTTTTCCACGCGTCCGTTGACTTTTTACTTCGCATCCAATAATTTAATTACTTTGAACTAAGAGGGTGTTACACAATCCAAACATTATCACTATTACCTATCTTATTTGCTCAAATCACTTTGTTTCTTAAACAACTTTGTACATTATCATCTGAAGTGTTATTTCTTAGAGCTTTTATCTAAATCAATTTAATTTAATTACAAAGTTTAAAACTTACATTACAGTAAGTACTGTATCCACGTTTATTCCTTCTAGAATGTTGATATGTTTCAAGTATTATATAAATGGGAGCATTGGTGCGGTTTGTTTGTCCGATCGATTGTAAAACTAATTCAAACCCTCTCTGGTTAGGTCGGTCATTACACGATCAGATTAAGTGTATAGGTAGAGCAGCTTATTATAATTTTGAGCGTATTTATGCTTAAAACGAATATTATTTAAATATCACTGCATATCTATATACTATTAGAGTACTAATTAATCAATGAGTTGTATTTACTAAAAGTGTAACGTAAGTACAAATTAATCAATTAGTTGTATTTGCAGTCGTTAATATCCACTAGTCCGGAGTGGGTTCGCATATTATTTAATTATATTTAAATTATCAATTAATCAAATATGTGTGTGTGTGTGTGTGTGTGTGTGTGAGCGTTTGTTTGAAATTGATATATGAAGGAAACAGGAGGAATTCAACTAAAACCCATTTAGCAGTCCTTCGATGTCTTCGATTTTCCTAATAAGACCTTTTTCATGAATTACAAAAGCTATACGATTTACATACTAATATTATAAACAGGAAAGATAAGACTGTTTGCATCGACAGGCTCCATAACTACTGGACCGATATTCAAAATTCTTTCGCCTTCATTATACGAGGTTGACATAGGCTACAATTTACGCGTGCGAAGTCGCAGCAAAACGGCTAGGATCATATAAAAGTAACACAAATATACAAAATTATTAGAACTACATTTTATAAACGTTTAAAAGACTTCCAGACAACCGTCAGTGAACTAAGAATACGTATAGATATGAAAGAATCTTATAAAACTCACCTGAATTTTCAACGTCGCGTCAAATTTCTCGAGTGCTATTGTAATTATTAAAAATCCTATTAATATTCTAAATGTCAAAGTTTCTTTGTTTGGATGTTTGTCGATCAATCGCGCCGAAACTTCCGAACTGATTTTGGTAAATATGTATACGAAATTTGGTATACATATAGGGTATTAGCTGACTTAGATACTAGGATACTTTTTATTCCATTTAACATTTCCCTAGGGACCACGCGGGAGAAGCCGCTGGCGAAAGTTAGTATTTACTAATTAGGTATGTGCACTTACTTCGAAATGTCAGCTGACTTCTTTTATTTGTCAGTTGACTGAGACTACGACGACCTCGCTGACTCGAATCCCGTTGGTATAATGAAGTTAAATTTGATTTTATCTTTTTTATTTTTTACGGTTCCGCTCGAAAAAAGCATAAACGGAACCTGTTTGTCTGTCTGTCAGTCTGTCACAGCCAATTTTCTTCGAAAGTCTACATATATTTTATACACTTTTGTTAGTTGGTAATCTAAAATTGATCATCATCTTCATTTGAGCCCACTTTCTACCATAACGGTATAGGCCTCCTTCAGAAAGGTGATCGTACAAATTAGAAAATTAATAAAAGTAGTGAAAACTATGTTATGGTCATGAGAAATCTATAGTTTACAGGAAAATTGTTAGAAGTTTAAATGAATGTAATAGTCAGTCTATTTCGTTAATTTAAACTAATGAAATGAAATGAAATGAAAATATCTTTATTCAAGTAGGCTATTACAAGCACTTTTGAATCGTCCAAATATTTTTTTTTTTCTCCTACCACTTGTTCAGGACGTCTTTAAGCTGACAAGAAGAACAAGCGACAGAAACTTACCAGCTTTTTATCATAAGTAATGACATTTACATAAATTATGTCATTACCAAAATAATATGTATTATCACAATAAAAAATACAACTTTCAAAGTCTGTAAGACATAGGTTGAACATATAATTAGTCTTTATAGAACAAAGCGAAGGCTATTAATTCCATGAATTGCGATTCTTTAAAATAATCATCAACTTTATAATAGCCTTTACTCATAAGTATGTTCTTTACATGAATTTTAAATTTATTTATGGGTAGGTCAACTATATTTTGTGGAACTTTATTGAACATAGCAATGCATTTACCCAGAAATGATCCTCTGGTTTTCTGAAGTCTGAAGCTTGGAACGGCAAGTTTATTTTTATTTCTTGTGTTAAGATTATAAACACTACTTTTTTTGTGAAGAAATCGTAATGTTTTCTTGCGTACATATTATTTTCATATATGTATTGAGAGGCAACAGTCAAAATATTTATTTCTTTAAATATTTATCTGAGAGATTCTATAAATTATATATAGCGCGAACAGCTCTCTTTTGTAAAATAAAAATATCTTGAATGCTAGCCGCAGAACCCCACAACAATAGACCATACGTCATTACACTATGAAAATAATTAAAATATACCAATCTTGCCGTTTCAACATTTGTCAAGAGTCTAATTTTCTTAACAGCAAATGCTGCAGAACTCAGTCTACTTCACAAATTATCAATATGAGGATCCCATTGCAGTCGGGAATCTAGTGTAATACCAAGGAACTTTGTCGATTCCACCAACTCAACTTTTTCACTATTCACATTTATAAGTATATTAACATGCCTCACATTAGGTAATGCAAACTTTATGCATTTCGTTTTATTTGAATTAATCTATTGAATTAAATTTAAATTAAATTTTTACTATCAAACCACTGTAGAACATTGTCGAGAGCATCATTTACATCGTCAAAACAATCATTACCCCTCTTAACTTTAAACACTAAAGTGGTGTCATCAGCAAATAACATTGTCTCGTACAAATTCTTTGTAAAGTGAGGAAGATCATTAATGTAAATTAGAAAAAGCAATGGTCCTAATATCAATCCCTGAGAGACGCCCACAGTAATGGGTGCCCCTGCAGATTTCGCTTCATTAATTACTACTTTTTGAATTCTAGCAGAAAGATATGATTTTATTAGATTAATTGAATTTTTCGTCACACTATAATGCTCTAATTTCCCAAACAGTGTTTCATGACTAACGCAGTCGAATGCTTTTGTTTATTTTTTCCAAGCATCATAGATATCTTTCAGAAGTGCAATTCCAGCGTCTGTGGTACATTTATCTCTGCTAAAACCAAACTGATTTTTATGATGAAAAGTATGCAAGCAGTTGATTATAAATAATTTTCTCAAATACTTTACTTAGCGCTGGTAGTATAGATATTGGTCTGAAATTACTTCGATCAGACTTGTCGCCTGCCTTGAAAAGTGGGATTATTTTACCATTTTTAATAATAATTTACTCTAGTTTATTGCCAAACTATATTTTTAATAAGCATATTTGCTATTGTCAATATTTATTCTAATCACTTATATTGGTTCTTAAAGCAGTTAATTGAAATATCGAAGAGTTTAAATTAATTATAATGTAATTAACACCCATACAAAATATTGTTTACTTGAAAATCAAGATGAAATTTGGAAAATCGAATTTCTCTATATAAATACCTAATCTAAGTTATTATAAAGGTGTTTATAAGTAATATCATCAGAGCAAAATAAATGTTATTTTCTGAAATATAAGAATTTAAGAGAAAACAAGACCAATTCTATGCCTTCTACAAAGATTTCTAAGCCAAATATACTTCTCTGAATTTCTCTAAGAAAAATATTTATTTATCACTATTTGAGCAATTGATAAATAATTTATTTATTAAAATTTGATTCATGAGTTTCTTTTATTTTCTTCTATTTTTTTATTTCGTGTTGGTATTCTCTTCGAACAAATATAAGTATAGCTGTGTCAAAACATATTTGTTTATCGACAAAGAGAACGATTTCGTAGATAGCAGATATACGCGAATAATAGAATGCTGAGGCGAGAAGTATAAACTCCGAGACAACTAAACGAAGATTGTAATAAATCGATATAAGTATCAATTTATCAAAACAGATAGAACAGATTAGCAATTAATAGACCAAGTATTTACTTATTTTTAGTATTTGTCCACCAAAAATACTCTCAAATGTATCCCAATCGAACTCATTTATTTAGAAATTAGAAAACCCCTGGGACCTAGTGACCCCAATATGCTTATAGTAATTAAGGTCGCTCAAAACCATCGCCGTGAAAACCTTCGAATGGAAAAGTTAATTTCATATCGTCAACATAGAGATATTAAGTAGTATGCTTGAAGTTATAGACCACTACATCAAACAGAACTGGGCTGAGGTGAGATTCTTGAGGGATAGCAATTTAGAAATGAGCTATGTAGGTAGGTGTTATTAGATATAAATATTATGAAGGAGATAATCCCAACTGTTGAATTGAAATATATCGTGTTAAAAATTGATTAGCGGGGTAGTTTCAGCAACTGTATTTTTACTTATATGAAAATATTTTTATAGTATGGTCAACGCAACAAATAAAACATCTTTCTTTTAGTTCTATTATTCTGCATTAAATGTTGGTCCTGCTTTCACTATGTGACAACATGGTAATAATAAAATTGTGTTTTAACTTCTCTTGCTCAAAAAGTCCGTACTAAAGAGAAGCTAAGCCACTTGCCTCTGGGACTCGAACCCATAAAATTTCGCAATCCCGGCGACTGGTCTTTATGCATTTTTCATCAAGTTTTTGAATATAGCACTATGAATGCAAAAAAAAAAACAAATATGTGAATTATATCTTTTAGGATGTTTTTTATTTTTATTTTGGGTCTGTCACCAAGTCTACAGACATATTCTTGAAAAAACATTTTGAAAATGGAACTAAAAGATGCACTCAAACGCATTGCACTGGTTTGTCGTTATCATACGTCCATTGCATCACATTTTTCATAGATGCTTCTATGAAACAATGCGACTGTTAGTTTTGACGTCGGAAGTATGCTGATGACGTCATTGGAATTTTGAATAAAATCCGTTGCGTGTTTTGCGGCTGGTGCGTGCGCATGCACATATGGACATTCTCCTAAAAGCGGCGATCTTGGCCATTCTTTTTAGTTGTATTTATGAATATTGAGACAAATCGTAATTATTGAAACCGATAGATGGAATTGTAGTGTGTAATTAATTTTTCACAATTGAAGTGAAAAGTCGTATGTAACGGCAGGCGCTAAGAACCTATTATCACTATTATTAAAGATTTGTTTCTATTTTGGTGCCTCGTAATAATGTGTCATTTTAGCTCCCTTTGTGTATTAAGCACATGGCCGCATGTACATGTTGGTACCAAGCGCGCTTCATATAGAACTTCCCTACTAACAGAGGTCTGCTTACTATATCTACATTCTTTTAAATTACTTAATAGAAGTAAAAATAGTTTTTATAATAAACTGTTTTTTTATTATTATTTAAGTATAAATTATCAGTGAATGTAAGTAAAAAAAACGCGCATTTTCTTGAAAAATGTTTTTATTTCAATTGCTACATTTCAATTTTAAGCAATTATTTGAATTTGTAATCATATATTTATAATTAAAGTTATCTTTTATAACATAATACCAGTCAACATTCTGAAATTTCTATTATTTCAATTACATTAGTTTTTATAAATGAATAATTCCATACGGAGGTTCGACTGTTGAGATATTTAAGATAATTATTCGTGACTAAATACGTTTTTTTTTCACAGTAATTTAATATTTCATAGTTTGTGTTAGATACTAAGTTGGTGATAAAAATCTTGTTCGGTATTCGTTTTTAATAATTTTCATGACATTATGGCCAAAAATCATTGCATCAAATATATTAACTATCACATTAATTTATATCTATTTATTCGTAAAAAACGTCCAAGTACTTATTACTGGCTTAATGTTATGAAAAAGTTACTAAATTTTTGCTATAAAACTTAGGTATTGACTAGTTACTATAATATTATTAAAACCTTCTTATTGTAAGGATCAATTTAATGCTAAAAGTATAAAATATAATAACCTTAATTAAAAAAGTTTATCAAACAGTCCTAAAATTATAATGGTAACTTTGGTGTGGACACAGATTACCATAAAATTTAAAGTTTCCATCATTTATTTTTTTCAACTAGGAACACATTAGGACTTAAAATCAAAGAAATTATACATTTTTGTACATTATCATGATTTACCGTATACTAAATAGCAACAGAAATTTCTTATTTCCTACTTTTACATTAATGGTAACATCAAAATTGAAATATCAGTGCACCTAGTTCAGTACCTCAACTAAAACTGTCATATTATAGAGTCGACTCACTTTGTAAGAAAATAAATTAACACGTTTCGGTTTGACATTTTCTCTTCTGTCACTGTCATTTTGCTTTCGATGTCCAATGGTTTAAGTACTAACATTTAACGTTCGGGTTTATGACCTCGTTTTATGAGTAGCTTTTTGGTTATCCTTTTATTGTTAATGTTAACTATAGCTGAATATTGAAAATCAAGTTCCGAATTATGTTGGAAAAGGCGAGTATCTTTACAGATTCACATCTATTTTGCTTACGAGCTTATTATTTATTTATTATCTTAGTGTAAACCTTGTCCCAGTTAGGTTAAGTGTGATCTGTCTTTCCATAGAACTTAGTGGTGATACATTTTTATACAGGTAGGTACTTATGGGATAAAATGTATAAAACACATGTAAAAACTTGTATGAAAATTCACTTAAAAGTATTGATTGAGATTAAATGTAGAGATCTTCGAATTTGATGGACATATATATTAGGCAGACATTGTAATTGAAAAAGATTTCCTTAATATTAATTATGCTAATAAACTATCAATCTATACAACATTCTTAAACATACCTATTATTACGTATTTACAAATAGTCTTAGTGTTTGCATAATAAACATTGGTATATATTTGGTACATGAAAAAAAAAGTGAATATATGCTTCACACTGGGTTAGGTAGGTACTAGTAACATATATTATATCTATCGTCTGTTCTTAGGGCAGGCGAAAAAATGATATTACGTGATCGTTGAAAGGAAGGGATACGTATAGCTATCCGTACTATCGTATACAACTGATATGCAACTGAATCGCAGGGCTGCTCACCGATGTGAGAAATTTCGAAGCAAATGTCGGCCAATCAGAATGACTCAAGTGTCGTGCCATCGGGCAATCCACCTATATTGACAGGCTTGACCTTGCAGAGTGAGATGATCACCTATTGCTTTGTATTTTACCGTTTATCGTCATAATCATTTATTGGTGATGTAATTTTTTTTACTCAATTAACTAGTAAACGTTAAAAAACATTAGAACAAAATCACATATATTGCTCAGATTTCAAGATGAATAGTTAAATTTTATATGGAGTTTCTGAGACAAAGAACATATCACAACATCTAGACTCGAGAAAGTATCGAAGAGTTCATTTTTCTACATTTTCCCGATCGGGAATGGAACCCGGATCCTCAGAGATGGTGAATCCTTTAAGCCGGCGACGCACTCGACTACGGAGATCGTCGTTATAGTTCAACAAATTCTGTATTGTAAATTATTATTTAATGAAACTAGATTCACTATAATTTTTATTCATACGTTTGTTCGCTGTCGGTATTAATGGATTTGCTCTGTGGAAATAAAGGTTCACCATGCGCCATATAAGTTGGCAATTAATATACCACGTTTTGTTTATACGGGACGCTAGTCTCCGTACAATAGAAACTCCGCAGGAACCATACATAATTCTATGGATAGCGACACCAATATAGTTTACTTTCGACGCTCACATAATATTTTGAGCTATTATCCGTTTTTCGTTTGCTCCAAGAATAGAGTATTTATATAATTTGTGTACATTTTATAAATTTATAACTTAATAAGGTTCAGAACATCAAACTTAACATTTACTCCACTATTCTTATTTAGTTGGAGAATCACAATAGCAGGTTTTAACGTTTTCATAATTATGGACCATTTTACAAATATCTATCTAGCCATGGACCACTTGGTTTATAATATGCAGTGCCTAAAGCCTCGTGGACCATTAGGGACCTCTTTGGACCGCCGGTTAAGAAGCATTGATCTATAAGATATAAAAGTCGTGAAAATTTCTTAATGGGATATCTGACGTAAAGTTATAAAACAAAACTATGTCAATTCTGTTGTACCACTCTCAACTAAACTAAATAAATCTTACTTTAATTTGATTTTGTTTTAATATTATTCGATAGTCGATATATAATTAATTAAACTAACACTAAAATATAATAGGTTTTCTTCTGTTCTCTTAGTTATATTTACAACTGGAAACGAAGTTTGAGAGAACTAAACCTAGTCTAGTTTAGTTTGCGCCACAGACTTGATGCCAACAGCAGCAGATGTGTAAATACTAATTTAAACTACAGTGTTAATACACAATAATTTTTACACGAATTGACATTTAATACAAAGCCAAAAATTCAAAGATTTAATTAATTGACATTTATATTTAATAAGTATTTTTATACAAGATGGAAAATATTTGTAAAATGTAAACGCTGCCAATTTTCTTACATTATAAAATTAGTCTTTAGTTGCTTAATTTAAGATCAGTAAAATACATAATAATGGCAGTTAAATTATGTACAGTACCACTCTAAATGTGATCTAATATCTTTTATAATATAATACAAAATCGAATACTAATTTTATTGGTTACTATTTATCCAACGGCTGGACGAGTGCTGCGAACAGTATTATGTTTAGATTCTGTGAACGTGTGGCAATCTGATATAGGAACTATAATGTTGTCATTATTGGAATATTTCATCGAATCTCCTTCGGGATCTATTTTTCCGTTAGGGTTGTTACCATTAGAGTTGCTGATGCTCCGTTGTGTGTAAGCCTGGCGTGCATTAGCTTTCTTGCAAGCATCGCATATGAGGTGCTTAGATTCCATGCTAGAATTCCTCATGTCTTGGCTGTCTTGTTTTCTTTTGCTTTGATAGTTCAAGGAACCATTCTTCATGGAGTTGTCTGGGAAATTAATGTTAGGTTAAAATACATTTTCATTTGATACTGTTAATTATCTTAGTTATATTTAAATATAACAATTTTGGTCAAGTATGCGTAGCAGGTTATTGGTTGCGTCAAGTAATTATTTTAATTTTTGAAAACATTGGTTAAGCCCTGCCCATCAGTACCAGTTCTAACACAGAAGTCCTACTCTGATTTTTCAAATTGAAACTTCGTATATTTTCGAAACGCCAATATGACTCCAAAGATACGCATTTTCGAAAATTTATTATGCAACTGAGGTAGGATTTGACACTGCTTTTGATGCACAGACAATCTTTATGAATATGATTTTATCATAATTATAACAATGATTCGAATTTTCATTTGAGGACAAACAGAGTAGTTTTTCAGGACGCGCCGCTCGATTGCTCTCAATAAGTTAGGTATATATTTTTAAGTCTTTATGTTCTTTCCCATTTTCTAGAAAGATGAATAAAACGTATATAATTTGATTTTTAGAAAATATTATGCCAGAATCAATATTAAATTCACATTTAATGTTGAATATTTCCAATATCAACTGATTCCACTATTACGGATTAGCCTTTCAAAGTTAGACATAAAGTGGATATAATTTGAGCACATACAATCTTGTTTTAAGATAGTGCTTATGTATATGGTATATTTCACTGACATCAAAGTGCTTATACAATATATTTCGGAAATATCAAAAGTATTTTAGTGTTTACCTAAATGGCCTGTGCCGTTTGATGACTGGTTCCGTGCTAACCCCATAGCAGTGTACAGGCACTGCGTGGCAGTATTCTTCTTGCCGCTATGGCAGCAACACTGCCTGAAAGTATTCTGAAAAAGAGTTTGTAATAAGTATTATAGAAATTAATGAACAGTTGTATGCAGTTGAGGAAATTGCCTATCTGTCAATTTAGGTGATTATCACAGAGGTTCGATTATTTTTTTTCTATAACACGATAATTTTTGATTCGTGGGAACTATATAAAATCAATTTAATATAAAAAGTGGCATACTATCAGTTTCATGGAAGAAACTCTATATATATTAATACGAAACATTTGATATAAAATGGAAAGCCTATAACCGATGTATTTATTAGATCCTATTTTGTGTATACATGTTTGATGATAAATTAAATTAACTTCTGCTTGTTAAGGAATACGGTCTTGTCAGTCTGTTTAAACCCGAAGGGGACGGGTTATTTGCGTTGTAAATACGAGTAACATCTGTAGTGTAATCAAAATATGACGGTGTATATACGATATTAAAACTTTAGTAACCTTTGGCCCATTAGATTATTGTTTATACGCGGTACATACACAAATCCAGTGTTACCAACTCCCAACAAAATAAAACCCTAAAACCAAACTCAAATAACCCTAAATAACCCCGAATGGTGTAATCAAAAGCCCCAAGAAAAGCCCTGTCCTGCTTGTATTACTTAAAAATAAGTGTTATAAAAAATAAATGTTATAGGTTCTATTTCGTCACTTCGGAAATAATAATAAGTTAAATAACTTTTTTCAATTCATCTCTTAAAAATAACAACAACGTAGACGTTTTATAATATCATGAAGCTGCTTTGCCATATAACGATTTAATGGGTAATTTAGACATTACCTTTTTATTTATTAAATTTCGTGGCACTAAAATTAGCCCTAAACTTTCTTGAGCCCCCAAAAAAGCCCAATTAGTTTATTTCCGCCCTAAATTTGGGGCTAAAAGCCCTAAGTTGGTAAGCCTGCTCAAATCATTACAATGGTACTACAGATGTAAGTTGGTTAGTTAGAGACGCGAAAATCGGTTCAAATGTATTAAGGTAATTGTAGGTTATTATGTTATCAAGCGAAACCTCAGCATTTTATTCTGCAATATAAAATATATGTACTTAATGTTTTATTTCATTAACACAAACCCTTATTCAAGAAATTGTATGGAGATTCACTGCTCTTGAAGTGAGGCAGGTAAATGAAAATTGTGTGTGTGTGTATGTGTGTGTATATGTGTGTATGTGTGTGTTCATGCATGTAACCGAGTATGCTGAGTATCAAATAACATATAATACTTGGCCTATTTCTAGAAAATACCACATTTACGTGGTTTTTGAGTAGTAGTCCCCGGGAGCTTTTTAACGGGATTAAAACTATTATATTAGTTTGTTAATCTAGGGTTATACTCTACCTGTATGCTCAATCCAAGTCCATTCAGCTGTTCCATCTTAATTGGGTAACAGACAAAGAAACAACTATACTTTCGCATTTAAATTTAAATAATAAGAAGTTGTGATACACTTATTTGCAAAACAACGGTCGCTTTAAACTATAAACTCATACTTAGTTAAAACTGGTATATAGGTATATGTAGTGTGTAAAAATAGTTTCAAAACTAAACATTGCGTTTAAAAAGGCATATTTAAGAATTGGGAAAACCTTTACACACCTGAAAAAAAGAAATAGGTGCATCTTATTTTATCGCGAATCGTTATTAACTCTAAAAGATCTATAAACATAAATTGAATACCATTGTAATCTCATTAGCTAGCAAAATTACAGAATTTGCCCCAGAAGCTAAAAACGAGGAGGTCAACAGTTTTAAGTGCTTGGTAATGTTATCTAGCGACAAATTATTTTATTCATATTTGTCAATCTTGGCTCAATCCTTGGTCTTTTCTTGTTTTTAATTTACATAAATGACTATTAGATATATACGTTAACTCAAACACCAATAATATAGTTTATTTGCTAACCAATTCTTTTGAAAAAGAGTTTTTGAATAGTATTGGACCTGCAGGCATTTTGAACAGTTACTCGTTAGTTTATGTTAGCTTCTTATAGGATTTAACCTACTGCAAATTTTTATTTCCTTTGAATATACAGGTGCTGAAAATATTATTAAAATTATAATAGTCGCGAAATAATCAAAGAGAGTGAGTAAGCCAGTCACGCCTAAGGTGAAATTTTCAATACTTGTACATTCAAAAGTTAGATAATTTATCCACTTACTTTGAATGCCTCTCTGAACTTGTTAGACATGATCTGGTAAAATATCGGGTTGATGCACGTAGACATGTAGTAAAAGACTCCGGAGATATATGTGAGGAAATTGTAGATTTTAGCCATGATCGGTTGGCGTGCCTGGTGCATGGACGTGGTTCCGTATATGGCCACCAATCTTTGTGCGTGGAAAGGCGCCCAACATATGAAGAATGCTACCACTACAGCCACTGTCGATGGAAAATAAAAGACTTTAAATAATAAGTAATTTACTTACCAACCTGTATGTTATACTAATAAGTCAGTTATGATCCCATTAAAACATTTTCATGTAAAGTGTTGCCAATCCAAGATAACATGGCTCGCACTGTCAAAAAGTTATCAGATCTCTTGTAGAGCCAAGATTATGACTCTACACGCCTTTACTTCACAAACTCTACACATGTGGCTCGGACGTTTCAGTATCGTCAAATAGATATATGGTGAAAAAAATAATCACTGTTCTGTTTACTATAGTTGTTTCTTGTAGAAACGGAACGTAATAATTGCACACAATGAAGAATACAGGTCTATTTGATTTGAACTTTCGTCCATCCCCTGTTGACTATACACCCCGGTGGACGTCGGTTGAAAAAGAAGGAAAGTTATGATGTTATAAATATGTTTTCACTTGCTTATAAAATCTTGATTTTTGTAAAAATAATTTAATTTATATTATTGTATAATTTCTCAAAAATTAAACTGATTGGATGGTTTGTATAATATCAAATTAAGTCACAGTAAATAATATAAACTTCTAAACTTTCGCGTTGCATTATATTAGATTGTACAGGGCCGTGTTTACCCGGACGTGCAAGGGGCGCGGTGCACCCGGGTGCGCAGCGCCCAGGGGCGCCTGTCGAACGTTGATTTAAATATTTCATGGAATTTAACGTCATTAAACCAGCTCCGTCTTTACCCATGGTGCAGGGGGTGCAATGCACCCGGGCGCCGCGCCGACGATAGTCTAATGTTGTAGTACCTACTCATCGATGACTTCGGTAATGCGCCCAAAATTTGTAATTTTATTTCAATAATTTTTATATTTTTTAAACACTGAACAACGAGTCTTGAAATATCTATAATTTTTTATATAAGAATGTGTAAAAAACTTTCAAAACCTTTTCCCTGTAATGGGGGAGGGGGAGGGCAGAGCAATTTTTGTACCCGGGCGTCTTGTGCTTAAGACGGGTTTGGATTGATAGTTAGGTTTTCACCTACCTATATTTGCTAACGTTTCGACCGGGTTACACCGGGCGTTCTAATCTATCGCGTTAATACCCGTTCCATACAATCTAATATAGTAAAAAATGGTACGTTGTTTATTATAATATTTCCTCTCAGTTCATAATTGTTTATAATTGTCAAACAGATGCTAAAATTATTTTGTAAATCAGTTCCTGGAGGCATTATTGTTGCAAGGGTCGGATGTAAATATAAATTGTTTGTGTTCGGCATCATCTATTAAGTTTTGATGAGTTTCAAAATTGTATCAGGCATAACTTTAATAAATTTGTTTATCTGTTGACCTTAATTAAGTTGGTTTAGTAAAATAATAGAGAGCTAATGAAGACAAATTGTTTCCCTATCTCCTTGAACAGCTTTTTACAAAATTGAGGGTGAAGTGATAAGTCTAAAGCAAAATTCACGAAAGTACATGTTTTTTTAATAAAAATAAATAATGTTGGTAAAATGCGTGTAAAAGTTTAATCTAAACTAAATATATTAATACTATCTTTCGCCTCTAGGGAAATGTTTCGGTAATGTATTAAGTGAAATATAAAGTATCCAATTATCTAAGTTAGCTAATACCCTATCTGTATACCAAATTTCATCAAAATCCGTTCAGTAGTTTCGGCATGATTGACGGACAAACATCCAAACAAAGAAACTTTCACATTTATAATATTAATAGCATGTTGCAGATAAGCCGTATCACTACTTATTACAAATTAAAGTCGGTCTGTACCTTTGTATTTCCCTGTATCTGTTAAAATTTTGACTCCACGATAAATATCTAAGATTTCCAAAATTAATTAAATAAGTATTTTCAAAACTTAATTATATTTCCATTAGCTACTTTTTACGTAATTCATACGTACCCAGCATTTTGACTACTCTTCTTGTGGATTGGCTCGGTCTTCTACGAGTATTATGTGAATGTGGGCAACACAAGCTTCTCTCAAACATTTCTGGATCTTGGACTTCCTTATTTATTCTTGTCTCCTTTAATTTCAAACCGATCAGTGTATAAAGTACCGTTATCAATATCATAGGTGCAAAGAAGAAAAAGAATGTCGAGATCTCAAAAGAATGCTGTATTATCACTCTTGTTTGAAGACACATCGTGACGCCACTGTAACTTCCAATACCAAATTGTAACGCTTGAGGTAATGCAAGTCCTAATGACACCACCCAAAGGAAGAAAACGTGTTTCGTAGCTCGCGATAATTTTGACATTTTATGTGACACAAATGGGTGACATATTGCCAAATACCTCTCCACAGTAAAAAGTGTTATCGTCAAGACACTGGCATTCGTGGATGTTTCTGATGCTAGACCTCGGATGAGGCAAAACGCAGGCCCGAACACGTAAGGCCATTTCGACCATATAGAATACATCTCTTGAGGCATACCGCTCACCAGCAATAGCAAATCTGATATCGCTAGACTAAATAGATAATAATTTGTTGCGGTGCGCATACTTTTGTTCCGGACGATCACTAGGCATGTTAACACGTTTCCAATTAAACCAGTAATGAAAATTACAGAATAGACTATGGTGATTGGCAGCACGATGTACAGAGGGTCTCTGTTTGGTCCAAATATAATAGTAGGATCAACTGTGGTTGATACATTGTGGGTGAAGTTATTTATTAAGGCAGTCATTTTCATGTAATCTATGTGCTGGCAGAAAATCGTATCATCTTCTTAAATAGAGGTTCGTCAATCTCGATTAAAAAATCTGTAAAAAAGAGAAAAATATTTATTAAATATGCTATTTCAGATATAATGTTGATATATGTTTAGTACTAGTTATGATATATATATACGATTACACATTAGAATTTTTAAAAACATTGGTGTTTACTAATTTATTCATGATTTAATGTAAGTAAGTAGTTTCAAATTATTATTAATAATAGTCAGTTTTCTGTTGACAGTAACGTGTTTATAATTTCTAAGGATATTCTTTTGATAAATACCTATACTAATACTCTTTACCAATGTCTGTCGTTATTTCTTTTTTATTAGACATATGAAAATATGTATACACCTGTATTATTCCTTTCCTACTTTTAAAAGTACCAGTATGTTTTTCAAGTAATTTAATAAATGTTACTTTTTACTAATTAAAATAATCATAATAATATTAGTTTGTCAACGAATGTTTTGATGCAAGAAAGTTGTTTTATAATTATATTTCAAAAGATTTGGTAATTTATTCATAGAAAAAATAGTTTATAAACAGTTTACCAAAAGATCTAAACTAAAAATTATTAAACAAATCCATTTTGTACTTAGTACTAGTACGCGAAGCATGACGAACTCGAGAACGTTTTGTCTACACTCATATGTCACTTTCTCGGGTGCGCTCATACAACATCTCACTATCGACCCGAGAAAGTGACATTTGGGTGTAGACAAAGTGTTTCTCGACCTTTCGCAACAGCTCTAACCACTGAGCTATCCAGAACATAAAAGGACTGACGAATTTTTCAAACTCTTGTTACTTTTTCGTCATTACAAAGCGTATTCTCATCAATGTTCAGGAAATCCAACCAAAGAGCCGAAAGAAATATTTTTACAAATTAAACTTTCAATAAAGATGAAAATTTGTTCTAATTATTATATTTCATCAATTTTGCATTCGCAGTGGATTTTTTAAGCATTTTTTATTAAGAATATATCCAGTATAGCATTGAGAATGTAATATTGATAAATTTATTGAATGTTTAATATATTAAATTCCCAAAAGTTATTGTTTAATTATGAAATTTGTGATAAGTTTTTTGTCTAATGAAATGTTGGTGTATCATCATCCGTCTTAACCACTTCGGGCCATTTTAACTAATTAATAAAATAATAAAATTTTAACAATAACGGCTTTAATGATTGTGTAGATTCGATACAAACGTACAATATAAATAATATCACAAAATATTATTGGTGTAAATTTATTGTAAATCATAATAAAGTGCTTTGTTTGTTTATTAAATGTATTGAAAGTATGAGATTATGCTAATGTCTATATTTTGCATCAATCAGTAAATGTATTCTCTTGTATGAAACTCGAATAACATCATGCATAATGCATACCCAGAAGTAAATACCCAATTACATGAGAATGTGATCGAATTGAGTACAAAGTGACCGAATATTGTAAATAGAAATTTTAGTTTAAGTAACTATTGCGTTCCACAAACATAGTGACATTAAAGGTACAGTAGACGCAATTGAATCGTATCCTATCTTAAGCTAGGGCTGTTGATCCACGCATTTCTTAGAAAACAGTTTATCATAGTCATATGCCCCGTTATTAGAGTCTCATACAAAAAAAAACAAATTAAAAACACGCTCCGTTTGTTCAGACATGTGGAACGAATGCCGGTTGAAGGAATGACAAAAATGATGTATAACGCGAATGTGAAATGATGCAGAAGCACACGGAGGTGATATAAGAAGCCATTAAAATCAGATTGTACGAAAATAGTAATGAAAGTAGCGAAATATATGCAAGTACATACAGAAAATGATATAATATAAACATTTATTTGTATTCTGCAAAAAGCACAAATATACTTGGAAAAATTGTTATACTGTGATGAAATAATGAGACATGAAAAGGGTGATATATTGCCATTGAAAACGCCGCTAGTTACAGCAACATATGATATTGTTGAATTAAATATTGGTGGAGTTATCCAAGATTGTGAAGCATAGACTTTTACTTGTGAGGGCAAACTACTCGTTAGTATGTGGCGTGGGCTGTTTCCTTTTTAATAATTATATGGAACTCTGCGTACGAAGCTGACTCGATCTTTGTCATTTTTATAACAAGTTAAAGATTTCGAATTCTCATTTCTTTTCGACAGATTTTTTCAATGAAAAATGGAGTCAATAGTTACTTTCATGAAACCTCAATAAGCCTGAAAGCCTAAACTTTCAAAGAATTTCTCAGAAAAGTAACCATAAAAAGATTTTTATTTTTAGTAAAATACTTGAAAAAGCAAACTCCTTTGTTTCTAGCCAGATATTACCGGAGCCGATTATATTTTAAGTAACTTCGTAAGATGTTAAAGGGTTACTAAATATTAAGGATATTATTTCCAATTAAAATAGAAATGGTTGTCAGATGAGTTGATGAAAAAAAAAATCATAAAAAGCAGCGATTATATATGAAGAATTATGATCCTTATCCTCAGTCCTCTCTGCTTACTTAGTGAGGGATTTGATATATAGATAAATATAAAGTGGAGAATCCACTTAGATTATACAGCTACTTAGATTGTATTATCTATACCAATATTATAAAGAGCAAACTTTCGATTTGTTTGTTTGTTTGCAACTTATTAGTCTATTGACTCGGAATCTTCTAGATTACATCATACGGGGTTAACATAGGCTAACAGCCTAGTTAGGTAAATTTTTAAGATTAAGTGTAATGAATACGATGACTTAAAAACAGTTCCACTAATGCAATCGGATAGAGTACAAGGGCGCACTAGTTAGCTCATTCGCACATTTTGCGAAGGAAGTTATGCAACTTTGGCAAGGGCCGGCTATAGGATGGGTGACCAAAAATTTATTATCTCGATCTCCTCCCTGCTTTAGAAGGTACGTAATACCGTCGGGCTCGGCTGCATCTGCAGTTGTAAACACCCACCGATCCGCAATGGACCCACGTCATGTGGTGTCCTATCTTAGACTATAATGAATATCTTTTTTGTTATGGTTGATTACAGTTTAATATTGATAGTCAATTATTACATTTGATTAATTTGGCATTCACATTGCTATTCTTACTAAAAAAATGTTAATGAAAAATGCTTTAAATTTTTTCATCTATCACATCACATCACATCACCAGCCCTTTTACGTCCCCACTGCAGGGGCTCAGGCCTTCCTTATGGATGGTTAAGGAGGATGGGCCATGACCCTCCACGCTGGCCTAATGCGGTTTGGAGGGTATTAACGACTGCAAATGCAGCCGGGACCAACGGCTGCAAATGCAGCCGGGACCAACGGCTTAACGTGCCTTCCGAAGCACGGAGCAGCTCGAGATAATAATTTTTTTGGTCACCCATCCCGTGACCGACCCTTGCGAAAGTTGCTTAACGACTACGATCGCGGGCCGCGGCGCTTATCCACTACGCCACCGTGCTACTTATCATCTTTTCATCTATATCGAAAGTTTAAATATTTGTAAAAATATTTCTTTCAGCTGTTTTGGTGGATTGCCTGAACATTGATGAAAATTATGCTCACTAGTAACGAAAGGTAACAAAACGCTTAAAAAATTCAGTCAGTCAGTCCTGGTTGGTCCTGGGTAGCTCGGTGGTTAGATCAGTCGCCCGGCTTGCGAAAGGTCGTGGATTCGAGTCCCTTCTTAGAGTCTCTGGTGTTAGTGGATCTTTTAAGCATTTTTATTAAGAATATTGAATTAAGAATTCCATATCACTTATTAAGTCTATGCAGTTAGAAGCACTTGTGATTGTCGAATGCTATGCCAACTTTTTTTTTGTAATTTAACCTGGTGAGGTTCTTATAACAATTCATCTTGTCAGTTAAACGAGAAGACATCTTACCATTAAAGTCGTAAATTACTTTTCGTCTCGAATACGGATCTATTCTCCGTAAAAAAATATTTGTCAAACAGCTGTTCATGAGTTTACATGAACAAAGAACAGTTTAGTTTCACGAAATAATATCACGAAGCGATTATATAATTGCTTTCATATGAAATAAAAACATTACTTTTGCACGAATCCTTAATGTCATTGCATTGAAATTATGTACAAACATATGTGTTCAATAAAGCTCATAGATGGAATCGAATAGGGAGACGGGCCATGGCCCACCACGCGGGCCCACTGCGAGTTGGTTGCCCCATCGAACTCCCCACATACACGAATGTAATCGAAACATATTTATGTTTTAGTTCATTATTCCTATCACAGTCTTTCAATTTAATTGTTTTCAGTACGTCGCATTGTTATGAATTAGTTCCTCTTTAACACGCTTATTAGTAAGAGGGCAGTAGCTTCTGTCACACAGGTGTTATACCTTTCAAAAAGTTCATGGACTTCTTCGTGTAGTAGGTATAAAGATTTCCAATTAAGACATGAATGCATGTATGTATCAATGACTCCGTATTATTTAAAAGAAGTAGGATAAGTCAATTCATTGGTATAATAATGGAGGAGTAAGTATAACATTGAGATTAACGGGTTTCGCATAGCTATCGGGGTCGATGGATGCAACCGAAACAAATTTTCTTTACATCTTTCAAATGAATGACAGGTGATATTAAAGTTCTGACAATGTGTTACGTTTATTTATATGAGCGATGCTTCATACGTTTAAAAAAAAGATATCTTTTTCTTTCTTCTCCTTCGTCGCGTTACATTCTTATAAATGTATATATATTACGAAACGAGTGTCGTTCATGTATAACTTTATAAAGGCAAACCAGTGTCATGCATAACCTAACAAGTCTTATCAATGTTATGTATAGCCTAATTATACTATAAATTTATCGAAGTCATGTGTTGGTTGTAATTTGTAAGTGTACCTGTACTTTAAATAGATATACTGCCTCCGTCAGTTTCACTAGGCGCATAAGTTTTCGCAACACTAGTTTCGCTATGTAAATCGCGGTGAAATTAGGTGAAATGAAACTGTTCTAGTGTCATGAAACGTTTATACAAGAAATGGCTAGTGAATTTAATGCAAGGAAACAAG